AGACCCCCAAGAAGGAGGAGAGTGCACACTAATGAAGCAGCACAAGTAAGTTCGCGTTAGTTGAGGACTGTTGCTTTTATTTTTTCATTTCTTTTATGGCTTCACAAAATTCAGTTTGTTCCTAATCTTAGTTCCATGCTGCAGAGGTCTGACTTAGAACAGCTCGTTTCTTTACACTGGCTTTTTATCAGGCCTCTGACATGAATGTGTAACTTCAGAATCCCCTTGTGCTGCCCTTCCTTGTACCATCTACACTAAGCACTGCTTTACCAGCAGAAACTTAACGCTGCCCAACTGCAGTGAAGAACCAATTGCTGTTAGCTGTGTGATCCCATTTCCTGTTTCTCTGCAGTTTGAGTTCAGTTACTTTGACAAGAACCTGAAGCATCTGACACCGTTCCCTTCATCAATAAATCAAGCAGTTAGAGGAACGAGAAAGTGTTACTCTAACTTCATGGGGGGAAATCTGGCCTGTGAAATTGTATCTGTATTCTCTCGGTGCCCTTATTAGGATTCCTTGCGTGTAGAGCAGCCAAATAATGTTTTGTAGCAGTGCTGTAGAATACTTAAGGAGATATGACAGGGCCTTGTTATTTTCCCTAAGATTTGAAGGGAACAGGTAGGGTAATACAACTGCTTTACTTACATGATCTATCATACCATCAAACCCTGGTGTGATGTTACGTATCCCCGGCACGATGACAGAAGCACGTGGGATTGGAAGCGATGACTGCCTTCCCTGAAGAGACCCCACTCTTCCCGTTGTATTCTCACACACCTAATGAGATATTCTTGTGTAGCTGTCAGCTAAGGCTGTGTTACGTGCAGGCAGCTCACCTCTCCACCTAACACTTCTCGGCAGGCTCGATGGCAGCATGGAGCCGGCCAACGAGATCCTGGAGTCTGCATCCCACGACCGGCCGCTGGTGGCGCAGCCGTACAGCGCTGCTGGGACTAAAGGTACATACGTGCCTTCCTCACCCACAAGGCATGGTAAGGAGAAGGCTGGGAACGGGGCAGAGTGCCTCTGCGTGTTGCTGCCTTCCAGATGGCTGCGTGAGCTCGTCTGCTTCAGCGCTGAGCTTTTCATAGCTGTGAGAGTGATGTGAGGCCCTGGTGAGTGGTAGGAGAGCACTCCCATGTACGCAGCTTTCTGCAGGTGAACCACTCGTCTGCGCTGCTTTGTGGGCGCAGCGTTGTCTTGAACTGTGTTCAGTTACTTCAGTAATAGTTGCAGTACTTGCCAAATGGTTCTTGAGATGCTGTAATTATTTTATGAAGGAGTTCTGAACCCAGACCTCCAGCAAAGCATCTGAATTTGTAGCACTTTTTTTTTTTTTGTCTGTGATGTTGTGTTCCTGTAGTTCCTTACGGCAGTTGTGACCTTTTAGCCTGATTTTGCTGCTCTGTTAAGTTGAGAGGATGAGAATTTAGTTTGTGCTGGAGTTCCCAAGTGAGTAGAGCTTGTGTATATGGCTCTTAGCATCTTTGTATAGGCTAATGTTTCAGCTGTGGAGGAAGCATAGTCTGCACATACAGCATCAATTCTGCCGTTGCAGCTGTAATGGATGGGTAGAGAGTACAAAAACATAACTGCCCCGAAGCAACAATATGCATTGCACGCATGCAGAGTAATCACAAACTGCTCTTGGCTTGGAGAAACGTGGTCATAATGAAGGCAAACATAGGGTGGCAGTGAAGCTGTTGCAAATAACGTCTGGTACTTCAGCTGGAATGGCTGCTTTGTTGGATCCAAGCCTTGGTTTGTGCTGCTGATCATCAAACTCCTGCTCCCTTTCTTTGCAGCTTATCCGGATGACCTGGGAGCTGTGGGTGGAGCTTGCCTGGAAGACGAAACCAACTCGCTCAGATTGGATGAAGACAGTGAGCATCCCCCCATGATCCTGCGGACAGACTGAACTTTGACCTGTGAACTCACTCCTGAAGCAGAGAACACTGGCTTGATGTTTCTTGAGGAATCTCGTGTTATGCTGCTATGAACTTTGACATGAGCTGGGAGAGAGGATGACAGACTCTTACAGTTTTAAGTCGTAGCTGTAGTTCTAATTCTATACCATTGGAAAAAAATATATGGTTTTCAATTCAGTGGCTTTTAATCTTGCTTATCTATTTTAGCTGTGTTTTTTGTTGGTTTTTTTTTCATTGCCAAAACCTGCTGTTTGTGCAGCCCTCGGGGCCTACTAGCTTTGCATGCGTTCATGTGCCAAGCAAGCATAGGAGGGGAGAGAGAGAGAAGCCACTTTATAACAAACTCAAGTTTGTATTTTTTTTATATATGTATATAATACTTAGCTTATATGAGGAAGGAGCAGAGAAGTGGTTTTGGAAGCTGAGACTAGTTCTGCACTGACAAAGGTCCAAATGGTTTCCTGTGCATGGGCTTGCAGGCATACCTAGTGACTGACATGCAATCTTTCAAATGCAATGGCCTGGTTTTTTTGTTGTTTTTTTTTTGTTTTGTTTTTTTGTTTTTTTTGGGTTCTCCCTCCCCTTTCCTGGACCATTTTGTTAATTAAAATTCCTTCTGAATGTTGTGTGTTTGTGGGAGTGTTCTGTTTGTTGGGACTGAAAACTGGAAATGTTTCCCTGCGTGAGGATATAGAATCTAGGAAGTGCCTTTACAGGGAGGAAGAGAATTGCTGCAGGAAGAAAGCTGGAAGGAAGGAGGAATTGTTAGAGGCTTTTTGTACACCTCTGGTACTTGGGCATCTGTAGCCCACGGTGGCTGATGTTTGTTTTGGTTTGGTTTTTAGGGATGCACTTTCTCTCCTGTAGGTTGTTCTGTTTCCTTGGCAGAGTAGCAATAACTCTTTTTTTTTATACCTTTATTAGTTATCCAAAGCAATGATTCTATCAGACTAGATGGAAGCTCCTGCAGGGTGTGGCAGCCCTATTATTTAAACAGCCTTAAGGTTTTCAGCTGGAAGGCATAACCCTCAATCCTTTCTTCTCTTCAGCTTGGGGCTGACTGCACTGCTCTGAGAGTGAAGGTTCGGGCCTTTTTTCCACCTGCCAGTGGAAATAGAAATGATTTTAAAAGGTTCATTTTCTTCTGGGTTCTCTTCTGTTGGATAACCTTGCTCTTGTTTTTATTTCCCTTTCTGTCAGAGCACCTCCTGTGTTACTCCCCAAGGACTGGCTGTCTCTGGCAGCTTTGGAATAAATCCTTAACAGCCCTGACCCTGCCTGGGGCTGCCCAAGGCTGAGCAGTGCTGCAGTCTGTCTTTAGGGTTGTAATGTGCCTTCTCTTATGTGGATAACAGTTAGTGAGCAAACGATTAGCAAAGCACCTGGTGAGTGTGACTTTCCTTTGCCAAAATGAACCTGGTTTGCCTTCTGTGCAGCGATGTGGGATGCTTCCCTTGGCTCTGCTGCCTGTTTGCAAAGAAGTGAAAATAGAAGTAGACAAGGAAACTGCAGATCTTGAGGGCAGAAGCCTGACTTAACTGTGTGTGTGAACTTCCTACCACTGCTGAATGGTGACTGTTAGGTGCTGTTAGGACTGGGTACCACTAACAGGTCTGCTGTCAAGCAGTCAGTTGTGGCTGTTCTTCCCAGAGCTCTGTGGTGAGGTGGGCTTCCATTCCATTTCAGAACAATGATGGCTCCTGCCTAAGGGAGCTACCTGTATCAGCAAGGCTGCTGTTACCATTCTTAGAAAACTTCTGGGAAGTAAGGGATCAGGCTTGTGTATCCTGAAAACCCTTGGCTGTCCTAAACAGCTGACTTGATCAGTTTGTGGCATCCCCTCCACGATTCAGCACATCCAAAGCAAGCTGCTGAGCCGTGCTGGAATCTCACACGGTCTCCTAACTTTAAGCTCTGGCTGACAACTAAATTCCATGATCTGGAATTACTTTCTTTTTTTTTTTCACTAGTGCTATCAGCTTTTCTGTGAAGCACCTCACTGCAGAGTAAAACACAAGCCTTAAATGTGAGCTTTGCTGGCAGACTGAACCCCACGGGAGCTGTCAGCTGTCTGCTTGCTCCAGACTAAGGCTGGTGACATTGCTGGTGATGTACCTGGAGGCTTGGCACAGGCTACAAACAGAGCTCAGCAGTCAGCACACATGAGCAAGGCAGGTATGCTGAGCACAAGTTCTGGGTTGTAACAAAGGCCATATTGCATAGCAAGATACTGCTATCACCTCTAATATGTTTACTATCCTTTACTGCCAAAAAATCGAGGTACTTATACAGATATTTATCCTTTCTTAGTTTTTACACCTGGGTATTTTGCATTGGTGAGTTGGGAGATCCCGTATTCACCGTAGTTTTCTGCTGTGCCACGGACTGACTGGTGACACTGTGAGCCATGTTTGCTTTGCTTCTAATTGGAAGCCTGTTCAAGTTGTGGGGGTTTTTTCCTGTTTTAATAAGGAAGGTCTCCTTAGAGAGCAAAAGTAAAAGTGTTCTGGAGTGAGTGAGCAACGTGGAGCTAGGATGGAGCAGCAGGTGTGTGGTCCCAGCTGATGGTGGTGTTCAAGTTCATGATATGAGGATATATTTATTTCCTTGGATGAACACAACTAATCTCATTTCCCTCAGTAACTGCCCTGCTGTAGTATGCTGCCAAAGTTTCCATCCCTTCAGGATGGGGTTTCATCCCAATGACACGAGTGCATACTTGTTTTTTTTCCTCCCTTTAAACATACCAGAAATGCTGTTTGCAGCTGAGTGTGGAGCTGAACTCTGCTGCTCCGTGGATCAGGTGGTGCCAAGTGTTTCTATTCTGATGGTCCTACAGCCCCAGGTTCCCCAGGGCAGCCTGGAGGTGGCTGTGTGGCAACTGTACAGCCTCCATTTTCGGCTGACCTTCCTTGGAAGGACAGTGCTTGTTTTGTGTCAGTGAGCATCTCTGGATATGGGCTGTACCTCTTGACCCCCATCAAGTGTTAGGGACAGAAATGGACAACAGAAACAACCAAAGCTGGGGGAGGGGGGGGAGAGGGGAGGAGGGAAATGCTTTTAAACTTGGAATCTGAAACTCAGGTCTTAAATTGCGGTGGGATCTGTTCCCAGTGAGTACTGTAGGGAAAGAGCTGTTTCACTTGATGTGCAAATAGGCAGCAAGTGTGCACGCTTTGCTGCTGTCTCGACAGCTGTGTGTTTACCCTGTTTCATCTTTCATGTGCTGAGGCAGACAGCTTTTATCTGCTCTGGACTCTTCTTATGTCAGAGTTTCCAAAACACGAGCGATAGATACACATCTAGCAGTTACAAGGCTGGGCCTGGCAGAGGAGCAGGAAGTGAGAAGTGCAATGAGATTAGCAAAGGCTGTATCTTCAGAGGCTCTGTTCAGCAAGACCAGTTGTGTGAGTTCTCCCTCTGGCACCCCGGGTCCTGGGTGAGTTCCTTACACCTATTTCTATGGAGACTGGCTGGGAGCAGAGGGGAGGGGTTGTCCAAGTGGGCCTCAGTGCAGATCTCTGAGAGCTCTGAACGCAGGGACGGGTGTCACCATGAAGGAAACGTGTGTCTGAGTGTAATAGAAAAAGGGAGGGATGGAGTGAGGAGCCCCCAGGTCTGGGTATGTTAGCACAGAGACCTGAGGAGCTGATGAGCAGAAAGCTTTACGTCCTGTGCTGTGCTCTCTTGGCTCTGATAATGGCATTAGCACCAAGGCAGCGTGCACTAAGACTGTAGAATTTCCTTCCTTGTAGCTTGCTGAGCTGCTCAGTGCACCACTCAGCCATGCAGGCGTTCTGCTGGTGTTTGCAGAGCAACAGGAGGCTTTGTCCAAGGCAGTGGTGGGGATTAACCACTGCAGAGGTTTGGAAGGTCCTGCTCTGTGCTCCAGATGTCCTGGCCAACAGTCTCCTTGGTTTAACATGTGAACATCTGAGAGCAAGGCAGAATGGCATCTCCACATGTGCAGAGCAGTCTTTCTGGAGTCTGTGCTGCACAAAGGAAGGCTTGCAATGAAGAAAGCGTGGCTCAGACTGTAAACAAATCCTTTCAGATTCCAGTTGCACAATGAGAGGAATTGAGCAAATTTCAATTATTTCAAACTGTAACATGCCTTTGTTTTTACCACACTTCAGATTGGCCAACCCCACCTTCCACTGCCTTGAAAGCAATGGGCAAGAAGTTGTCATCCTGGCTTGCAAACAGCTGCAGCTGTGTTCGTTGCAGGTGTGCTGTTGCTGCAGCAGTTGTGTGCTGCCTTCCCTGCTGCCTTTGCATGTGTCCAACTCGTTTCTCAGGAGTGGTGAGTTGTTCCCAAACCTGCACCTCTCCGGGTTCCTATGGGGCACCAGCTCAACCCTTTCTCTACTTGGATCTGTTTGCTTTTGCTTCTGCACCCCCCCCAAATAAAAAACCACACTGCATCCTGCAGTTCTCACCTACTGTTCAATATCTCTGTTGATAAGTGGAAAAATCTGCCTGACATTCCGCCTCCCCAGGTGTGTGCCTCTCCCTGCTGGCCCATCTCTCTTTGTAATTTTATAACTGCATAAGCAATTAAATGTGTTGTGATAAGTATTCGGTGTCGTCTTCCTTCCGTGTGCTGCTTGAAGTTGGGGCTGGATGAGCTGAAGGTGATGCTGTGTGTTCTGGATGATGTGGCCCGAACCCAGCTGCCAGCAGTAGTAAACCTTCAGTCTTTGCTGTGTAGCAGCTCTCCAAGAAACTCAGCTTGGCTTTTGCTGAGACTGGGGAAGGACCAGCTGAGCTGCTTCTGGTGTATTTTGCTGGAAACCACAGGATTTTGCCCCTCCTCCTCCTTAACGCTCTTCTTGAGGGACCTGGGTTTGTGTTTTTCTCCTGTTCCTCAGGTAAGTTTAGGTGACTTCCTTTGTACTTCATTCTGTGGGTTGCATCTGTAGCAGTGCTTCCACATACGTTCCCTGTTTGCTGTGCTGTCACTTAGAGCTTGCTGCTTCTCACCTTCAGCCCAGGGGGGAGTTCTGGAGTGAGCCATGCAGGTGGGTGAGGCATCTCCTGCGTGCCTCCTTTCCTTTGCAAAACTGTGACCAAACCCTCCCAGCAGGGTGGGTGACAGAGGGAGCCTGCTGTCTGGTGGTGGAGGAGCACACGGTGATGGAAGGTCTTCGTTCTTCTGCACGGCTGTTGTGCAGTGAACTCAGTGAAGCTGCAGACGTCTCCTTTCCTGATCTGGCTCTGGAGAGCAATGTTTTCCTGCTGGTGCCATTTATGTGCTGCCCCTTGCTGCAGGCAGAATCAGCTGTGTTAGCACGGATGAGTGATTCTAAACTGTTCATTCAGCTGCTGATGACGTTTCCCTTCTTCTGCCTGGAGCAAGCTGCAGATCAGAGGAGGCTGTTTGCATTCAGTGACTTCCAGGTGAGGTGGTGGCACCTTTGTCCCCGTGCCCAAGGTGGGATTGCTCACCTGGACCCACTGGTGACACAGGAGATGCAGCTGCTGCTCTGCTGCCCTGCATGTGGATCACTGCAAAGCATCATCAGAGGTGAACCTTTGGGCCAGAATGCTGCCTGGTGTGGAAATCCTGATGATGGGTTTGTACCATTGAAGCAAGCAGCTGCAGTTGTGTTCAGACCGGTGGTCTTGCATGTGTGTGCTTATCCAGCCCTGAGCACACACCTCTCATGTGCTGCTTCTGTCCTGCACGGCTCTGCCAGGCCCTTAGCAGAGACTTCTTCAGCTAATTAAGGGTGTGCTGTGAGCTAATGAGGGCTTCCTGCCCAACCTGCTGGAGGTGAGGAAATCTGATGCTGGCTGTTCCAGCACCTGGGTGTGCTTTCTTTTCTTAGCAGTAGGTTTTTAGAAGGCTGCACAGTGAGGTCATAATAAAGGATTTCAGATTTGTAAAATCCAGGTAAGCCCATGATGTTAAGCCAGAGGGTTTTGACAGTAATGTGATGTTCTGAGTGCTTTTCCAGGGGCAAAAAGCCCTGAGAGAGCCGCAGGCTGGCATGGGCTGCGGTGAGGTGTGCTAAGGAGTGCTGAGCGATGCAGAGCAGCAGCTCTGCACGGCATGGAGGCTGCCACCTTTGGGTGCCCCCCCAGCCCTAGCACAGTACCATGAACACGGAGCTGTGCTGGGGGTCGGGGGGAGCCGGGCTCTGCCGCCCAGCAGCCGCTAGGTGGGGTGTGCTGCCCGGCCCGGAGCAGCCCTGCTCCTTCCTCAGTGAGCCTCCATCGCATCCATCCCTACTTCTTTCATCCCCTCCCTGCAGCCCTTCTCTGCTCCCCATCCATCCCAGAGTTCAGATCTGCTGCTCAGATCCCCTTCCCAGCACCCCGGCTGCGTGCCATGAACAGGATGGGGGAAATTGCCCCGTGTTCAGCCCAGCCCCAGAGCTGCAAAGGGCTGGCAAACAGTGCAGGATGCTGCATGTCCAGCACTGCTGGGGCCTGTGAGCCTTTCCCTCCCCTCAGGCAGTGTGGAGGTCTCTGCCCTGCAGCCCCTCAGCACCTCGTGACCCCATCGGGTGGCACTGAGCATCTCCTTTCCCTTTCACCCCAAAACCACCTCAAAACCCAGAGCAGGGAGGCAGAGGTGGGAGCCTCATCCCTTTCCTTCTTCACCATTCAGGGGCCGAGCAGCCTTTCATGTCTCCCGAGGCCATTTGCAGTTCAAGCAGTTGGGTGGCGATTTCTCTTTCAGTAACTCATTTCAGAGGGTGAAGTGGAGTTGGAAGCCAAGTGATGCGCGGGGGAAGATGGCCTCTGAAGCCCCAAAGAGCAGCCACTGCCAGCCCTGCTGCAGCTGCACACCCTGAGCCCATCTCCAATCCTCGAGGGCCCCCCTCCTCACACCAGGAGGGAAAACATCCCCACCTCTCTGCAGCTCCACGTTGTCGTCGGGCTGCAGCACATCAAGGCCCTGTAAATCAAATATTAACAAAAAAAAGGAAGAAAAGCAACCTGCAGCCCATTGCCTGCCTGCTTTCGGGGTGTGCTGAGCTCTCGTGCTGTTTTCTCAGCTGTTTGCAGGGCACGGCCCCATGCTCAGTGTCTGCTTGTTTGTGTTGGTGCCGCGTGAGCTGCTGCACTCTGGGATATTCAATTACCTCCGGAGTGCTGCAGCCCTGTCAGCTTGTGTTGGAGCAATGGGGCTGGGGATCTGGGAGGCTGGATTTGTGCTTTGTTTGTTCCTTAAATAGCTTTTAAATGGAGCTGGACCTGGGCAGAGCAGTGCCACAGCGTGAGAAAAGAGGGGGGGAAGCAGATAAAAATGGCTGTGTTTATAGGGGATGTGATGGATGGGAAGAAAAACACTCTTCTTCCCCCCCCCCCCCCCCCCCAGCAGCTCCTTTACCCCCAATATGATTCTATGGGGAGGGGGAGGTCCTAATGTGTTTTTTGGGGGGGTCCCATTCCCCCCCAGCAGTGCTGGCCCTGCAGCCCCCCCAGGTCTGGCTGCAAACAGCTGCATGTGCTGCTGGTTGTGCAGTTGATGGCATAAATACATAATTCTGTTCTTATTCAATTAGGATTTTAGCACACAATCAGGTGATCACTCTAAGAGGATTTCCTCTAAGGCAGGATTTGAATAACTGGGCTGTGAATTATTTATTCCCTTAACCGGTTTATTCCTTTATCAGATTTTTTTTCCCCCTTAAGCACTTTAATGCATTGACTTCCCCATTGTCCCCGCTGTTTGCAGCGCTCCCCCTCCCCAGAGCTGATGCAAATCCTCCCCCCTGTGAGGTGGGAACGTGCAGTGTGTGCCAATGGAGGCCAACCCTCCGTGTGTGCTGCAGTTTGGGGGGGGTTGGTGCCCTGGTTGTGGGGGCTGGAAGTGGCTCTGATGCTCTATGGGGAGCCTGGGGGGTGCAGTGCCAGATTTGGAGGGGGGTGGTTTGTGGGGGTCTGTGTTGGGATGGGAGAGGTGGAGCGGGGCACAACCTGCGTGTCAACAACAGCACGGCTGTGCAGCCTGGGTGGGCTGTGGGCATTGCTGACAGGAAAAGAAGATTTTCCCCCCCCAAACAGTGCCACTGGGGCTCTGCTGCGATAGCCCATGGTGCTTGGGCTGGGGGGGCTTTGGGTTGGGGTTGGATGCAGTCTGTGTGTGGCTGAGCGCCCGTGGGGTGCGATTGGCAGGTCCTTCCAGCAGAGGGTTCACTCTGGAGCAGCGTGGAGACAGGAGGACGGGATGTGCTGATCTCCAGGAATGGCCCCCGGGCTGTGCTGCACTCCAACTCTGTGGTTTCACCACATCCAGAGGAGCTCAGGTTGTTCTGGGGGTCCTTTGGAGCCCCCCCGGCATGGGGGGAAAAAGCAACTCGAAGGTGGATCCTGCGGGATGTCACCATTTTCTCCTGCTAGAGGAAAATCTCTGCTTTCCACCTGCCCTGTAAAGATGAGTGGGAGCTGCTGGGGGCCCCCCTGTGCACCCAGTGCTGATTGTCTCCTTCACATCCCCCCCCCACCCCGTGCTGTGTGTGCGTGCAGCGATTATGCAAAGTTGCAATCAAGGAGCTGAATTAGCAGCTCATCTTGGATTAATTAGCGAGGGATGCAAATTTGTTCCAACAGGAAAAGAGGAAAGGAGGGGAACAAGGCTGAGGTCCCCCCTGGTTCCTGCAGCCCTCACAGCGCAGCGGTGAGCAGAGCGATGTGCCGTAATGGGGCAGCCCCTAAATTGAAGTGCTGTCCTTCAATCCCCAATATCTCTGTGCAAAGGCAACACCAGGGGGTCGGTGTGCATTTCAGTGCAGCCCTGGGGGAAGGATGGGGGGCTGCAGTGTTGGTTAAAGAAGGGTTTCCAGGAGGGGATTGAATGGGGAAAGCACCGTCATGGTCTGTGAAGTGGAAGAGATGGAAGCGTGGTGCTCGCGGGAGCACTGAGCTGGGCTGTGGGCTCAGGGGGGTCAGTGGGTTTGTGGGATGGCTGTGGCAGTGTGCTGGGATGCTCCTGACAGGGCTCTCTTTTCTCTCACGTCTGCAGTGATGACAAGTAACAAAACCCAACTCTGCTGGAAGGAAGAGCATTTCTGGAGGCTGCCCCCATCCAGCATCTCCTGATGAGGTGGCATCACCTCGTTCCTCCCTGTGGAATTAATCAGCACTCGGAGCAGTGAGGTGAGGCCCTGATGGAAAAGGGAGGAAATGCCTCCAAACCGCTGTGCTCTGCAGCCCGAAGCACTGACATGTGGTGAGGGATGCTCTGCTGTTTGATGGCCCAGGGGAGGCCCCGGATCTGAGCTGTGGGACGTCCCCAGTGCCACTGGGACTGGTCCAGCATCGCCCCGCTGCATGCAGAGCACTGCAGCCGGTGGGATTTTGAGCCTTTAAAGTGGGTCAAGCGGAAACCCGGGGAGCATCCAAGCTCACAGCCCTCGTGCCAGCTCCATCACAGCTGAATTATTCAGGTCCGGCTGAAAAATTGAAGAGTGGCAAAGCTCAGTGGGGAAAACCCAGCTCAGGGCTGCAGCACTGAGCCCCATAGCAGCACGGGGCACCGTGGGAGGGCAGCAGGGTCTGGTGCTGCCTTTTGGGAGGGTGAAGCGAGGAGAGGGCGCTCAGAAGGGATTTGTGGCAGGGCTGCCCTGAGCCGCAGAGCTTTCTGTGCGCTTGTTGCTGGGGTTGGGAGTGCATCTTTGGCTCCATGCCTGCTTCCAGCCCTGCCTCTGTGTTGCAAATAGCAAGGCTTTGTGGCCTCACTTCAGCCCTGTGCGCTTATCCTGGGGTCACTTTTGGGATTTGCACCTCCGGCAGCACTGAGCTGAAGGGAGTTGGCGAACTCCTCCTGCCCTGAATTGGAGATGATGAGGTTGTGTGATTTCAGGGTAAAATCAGTGGCTGCTGCCTCGAGGTGTGTGCTCACAGCATCTCCCAGAGCCCCAGATCCACTCTAAGGTGATGAGGATGCTGACGTGAGCGCGGGGGCTTCTATAGGCCCCGCAGCTTCTCTAGGACCCCTGGCTTAGCTGTGTGCCAGAAGAGCTGGGATTGCTGCTGGGTGAGTAACGCTGCCGGCAGCGCGGAGGCAGCAGGGGGAAGCCGTGCACAGATGCTGCAGCTCACCCTGCTCTTTTTGTGCGGCGCTCGCACCGTGCTGATGCCAAGCTGGGATTCTTTGGTGCCTCGTAGGGTTGTGCTGCTCCATCCCTGCCCTGGGGGTGGGGTCATGGGGGTCCCCCGTCTTTACAACCCAATTGGGGCTGAGGGCTCCTGCCCTGCTCAGGAGGGTGGGATGCTCGTGCTGTCCCTGCATGCAGCCCCTGCTTGGGAATGTGCATCCTCTCCCCTGCCTCGTGTCCCCACCACTCCACGCTGCTGGTTCCCCACTTCCACTCCCAGCGATGAGGAGGAGAAGGGGCTTCCCCCTTCTCTGACCCCACACCCCTTCAGTTTTCTGCATGCTGCATCGCCTCCATCTTGCCCATCTTTGGAGGCATTTATGGCCAGGTTGGACCAGAGGGGCGGCAACCACCACACTGCAGGGAGTTGGAACAGTGATTTTTGATGTCTCCCCAACCTCTGTGATGCATTTGTCCATCAGTCTGTTCTCTCCATCCATCTGGCCACCTCTCCAGCCGTCCACCATAACTGTACATCCATCCATCCTCTCCATACTTCTATCCATCCATCCTCTCTGTGCGCTCATCCATTTATCCATCCGTCCCTCTGTTCAGCATGCAGAATTTTTGCTGGAGCTGTTCAAGAAACGTGTAGATGTTGTGCCAAGGGAGGTGGTTTAGTGGGAAATACTGGTGATGTGTGGACTGTGGGATTGGCTCATCTTGGAGGTCTTTTCCAGCCTTGTTGATTCTATGATCATTCATCCATCCATCTTTGGACCTGCCAATGCTGCACCCCTCGCCCCATCTCATGTTCGGAGGGGAAGAGAAAGCTCCCTGCAACGGGAGCAAAGCTCGAATGCCCTAAATGAAACGAGGAACGGTTTTTCATGTCGCTGAACGCTCTGTTTGCAGCCCCGCACCTGCGGGCGGTCCCTAGGGGCGGTCCCTATGGGGCCGCGTCTGTAGGCAGGGCCGTGAAGGCGCTCCGTTCGGCAGAAAAGCCATTTGTGCGCCTCGGGGCCATCGCTGCCGGGGAGGGGCGGCGGAGGGCTGGGGAGGGGCGGGAGGTGGGGACGGAGCCGCCCCCGTTCGGAGCCGCCGCGTTCGCCGGTGCCGGTGCCCCCACCCCGAGAACGGAGCTCCGCGATGGAGGGGCCGGGGGGATCCGCCGGGGGCTGAGGCGGCTGAAGGGCCGGTGCCGCAGAGCTGGCGAGGAGGAGGGAGGTAAGAGCGGTGCCGACCTGTTGGGCGAGAACGGGACCGGCTTTGTCTGGGGCTGGGGGGGGGAAACGGGGCTGGGCGGAGGGGAGGGAAGGGAGGGAGGGAGACGAACCCCTGCCTCAGACCCACCTCTCCTCCCCGGCATCCTCGCCTCGACCGCGCATCTCCTCCGGTGGGGTTTGATGAATCCCCAAGATGGGGAGCCTTTATTTTTGCCAGAACAAAATAATCACGGTGATAAAATCATCCCCGTGGAAGCGCCTCCTTTTGGCAAGGACCCTTTTCCCGATTATAATCATCATCATCTCATCCCCAATGGAAGCATCCTCTGCTCTTTCCCTCACTCTGCGCCCACCCGGAGAGGTGACAGGCCCCGGCCCTCCTCCCTGTAAATCCAAAAGGGAAAATAAGGCAGATTGATCCCGGGGTGGGGATGCAGGGGTGGCTGTGCAGTTCATCCCGTACCACGGAGAAGTTCGGGGCAGCACTGCTATCTATGGGGTGCTCCCAACCATATCCAGATGGGGGTTCTTAGAGGATAAAAGCCCCACGCTGGGCTCTGCAGCACCCTGGGAGGTGCTTTCTGTTGGGTTTATCTCCTGGGGTGGCATCAGCAGATGGGGTCATCCAGATCCCCTGTGAGCCATGAGACAGGGCGATGCTCCCACTTGAAATGTGCCCTGGTGGGGCTCCAGGGTGCATGCTGCCTTCAGCCTGGATGTGCTGGGGACTCTGACCTGCCCCCCCAGCACTCTGACTTCTGCATGGCCTCAGGGCCACAGCATCACCGCTCTGCCTGATGCGTTTTAGCATTTAGGCTTGCACTTGCAGGCTCTGTTTTTGCAGCCCGCCCCATCCTGGCAGCAGGGAAAGGCTGCAAAACCTCCGTGCCCCTGCAAAGAGATCAGACAAATCACTTGAATTGATTTTTTTTTTCTCCTCCCTTGCCTGCCTCGTCCTGCCGCCTCCTCGGAGCTTCGTCTCTGCAGGGCGGTCGGTGGGCAGCGGGCACGGGGCAGGCTGGCATCTAGCGACTGGCACCGGTAATGCAGAGCGGGGCCCGGGGGATGGAGGGCATTTCGGGTGGTGCCGCAGGATGCCCGGTGGTGAAGCTCGGTTTAGGACGCGTTTGGTGTGGTCTCCACCCCTGGGGTCTGAACCAAAACTCACAAGGACCGTGGCTCATCTGTGACCCACAGCCTGGGGTCTCCCCTGTTCCTCCCCAGACCGTCCACGATGGGATCGGTGGGAACGGAGCGCCTCAAGGAGCTGAGCCCCATGGGGACACCTGAAGGCAACGTGGTGATGAGCTTCAGCTTCGACAGCTACCAGCTGGAGGAGGACGAGCTGCAGCGGGGCAGCCAGGCCAAGGGCGTGCTCACCTTCATGGAGCCGGGTGAGGGATGGGGACGGGATGGGATGGGAGGGAGCTGCCTCTCCCCGTGCTTTTCCCACCCATTTAAGAGATCCTGGGATGGTTTTGCAGCCACAAATGGGTTGAAATGCTGTGACGTCAACTAATGTCTCTTCGGGGCTTGCTGTTGTAGTCACCACAGCATCCTGTAGTACTGGGCTCTGTGGTTGGTACTCACCAGGTCTCTCCCCACACCGGCAGTTCTGGGGCTGCTTTAGAAACCCATCAGCACTCAGAGCCCTCAGCTCTGGTGTTTTTTCTGCCTCCCTCTTAAACACTTTCATTTCTGGGGGGACTTTCTCCAGGCTGAGGGTGTTTGTTCCTGAGAGCTGCAGGGCTGCTTGCGGGACACGTTGAGCCCTGATGTCCCCACTGACGTGAAAGCTGCGTTCATTGCCCCACAGCTTCATCCGATGCAGTCCAGTGTGGCAGTGCCACTCAAGTTCTCTCTCTTTCTTTCCCTTTTGGGTCAGTTTCTGAAGACCCCGAGCCACAGGACCGATACCACGGGATCTACTTTGCCATGCTGCTGGCTGGCGTTGGATTTCTCCTTCCATACAACAGCTTCATCACGGATGTGGACTACCTGCACCACAAATACCCAGGTAGGGCTCCGGCAGCTGCAGCCCTTCCTGCTCCCCAAACCCGGGCAGAGCCCCTACCTCCTTCCTCTCTGCAGGGACCTCCATAGTCTTTGACATGAGCCTCACCTACATCCTGGTGGCCTTGGTGGCCGTCATCCTCAACAACGCGCTGGTGGAGCTGCTGAGCCTGCACACCCGCATCTCCGTGGGTGAGCTGGGATCTCGGTGTCCCTGGGCAGCACTGCCTCCCCGCTGCCCCCTACACACCTCCATCTCCCCTCCCCCCCCCCAGGCTACCTCTTTGCCCTGGGCCCCCTGCTCTTCGTCAGTATCTGTGACGTCTGGCTGGAGCTCTTCACCCGACGGCAAGCCTACGCCATCAACCTGGTGGCTGTTGGGGTGGTGGCCTTTGGCTGCACAGGTATGCTGTGGTCGCCTGGGATGACCTACCAGCCAGCCCTCACGTCCTGTTCCCCCTCCCCAATCCCTGTGTTTCAGCTGCTGCCATAATCCTCCTCCTTCTCCCCTCTGCCCCTCTCTCCTGAAGTGCAGCAATCCAGCTTCTATGGCTACACAGGGCTGCTGCCCAAGCGCTACACGCAGGGGGTGATGACAGGAGAGAGTGAGTATTGCCATCCCCCGTGTGCAGCAACCCACTGCCCCCAGCACCCAACCACAGAGCCCCTGCATGGCTGAGGTTGGATGGGACCTTTGTGTCCGTCTGGTCCCGCCTCCCTGGTCACCTGGAGAAGGTTGCCCAGGTCCCCGTCCTGGTGGCTCTGAGGTTGCCAGCAACTTGGGAACATCCCAGGCTGATCCTGAGCAAAGCAGGATGGCCAATGCTGTCTAATCATGTGCATGGAACCGTTGAGGTTGGAGGAGACACCAACACGTCCCGTGCCCACTGTGTCCCTCATGCCGTGGCTCTTTAAAACCTCCAGGCATGCTCCTCTACACATGGAGCACCCTACCCAAAGCAGGGGGAGGCTGCTGGGAGGTCCCTAAGCCATAGGGCTCGGTGGGCCCTGGCACCAACACACTCCTGTGCCTCCAGGCACCGCCGGGGTCATCATCTCACTCAGCCGCATCTTCACCAAGCTGCTGCTGTCGGATGAGAAGGAGAACACCGTCATCTTCTTCTTCATCTCCATCGGCATGGAGCTGACGTGCTTCATCCTTCACCTCCTGGTGAAGCGCACTCGCTTTGTCCGCTATTACACCTCCTGTCCCCGCAAGGGCCGCCCCGAGCCCCGCAGGGCCAGCGACCACGGGACGGGCTACCGCGTCCACCACGACGTCACTGCCGAGGACATCAGATTTGTAAGCAGGGGGGGACTCCTTCTGATCCCTCATATCCCTCCCTCCCTGGGACTCAGCACTCCTGTCCCCTGTCCCCATGCAGGAGGACCGGCCGCAGGGACAGCTGGCATCTCCCCGTGGCAGCCCGGGCCCTGAAGCTGAGCTGGCCGGCAGCGGTACCTACATGCGCTTTGATGTGCCCACACCCAAAATCAAGAGGAGCTGGCCCAGCTTCAGAGGTGGGTGCTGGGCTCGGGGGTGAACGGCGCTGATGGCTGTCATGGGGTGTTTCCTGGGGCGGGAGGAGCGACCTGTGGGTTTTGTGCACAAAAACGTAGGGAGGAAATACGTGTTGGAAAATACGGGGACGCTTCTTTGGGAGCCCTTCCCGCTTTCAGCGTTGTTCAGCCGCAGCTGAGCACTGCGGGCTGTGCAGTGGCAGGGCTTCAGCCTCACTGCCCATCTCCACCAGCCATGCTGCTCCACCGCTACGTCGTGTCGCGGCTCATCTGGGCCTACATGCTGTCCATCGCCATGACCTACTTCATCACGCTGTGCCTCTTCCCCGGGCTGGAGTCGGAGATCCACAACTGCACGCTGGGGGAATGGCTGCCCATCCTCATCATGGCCATCTTCAACCTCTCCGACTTCGTTGGCAAGGTAGGAGGCATCGCCCCCTCCATCCCCACTGCCTGTGGTGTCCTCAGGAGGAGGAGGGCGTGAGTGAGCCGTGGGCCATCCACGCTTTGTGCTTTCCAACCAGCACGAGGTTGTTCACCACCACGGCCGACGTTGGGTTCCCACATGCAGGCCTTCCCCCATCCTGTCTCCTCCCCGCTGCCCCGTTTCGGGTGCCGCATCGCCCTCTTCTCCCCTCAGCACGGTCTCTGCCCCTCCTGCAGATCCTGGCTGCCCTGCCTTACGACTGGAGAGGAACGCACCTCCTCGTCTACTCCTGCCTCCGCGTCGTCTTCATCCCCCTCTTCATCATGTGCGTCTACCCCAACGGTCAGCCCGCCTTCGGCCACCCCGCCTGGCCCTGCGTCTTCTCCCTCCTCATGGGCATCACCAACGGCTACTTTGGCAGCGTCCCCATGATCCTGGCTGCTGGCAAAGTGAGCCCCGAGCAACGGGAGCTGGCAGGTAGGGCTGCACCATCCATGGGCTGCCAGGCGGGGCAGCCACGCAGGGTGACAGCCTCTGTCCCTCTCTGCAGGGAACACCATGACCGTGTCCTACATGACGGGCTTGACGCTGGGCTCAGCCGTGGCTTATTTTGCCTACAGCCTCACCAGTACGTCCCACAGTAGCTGTTTCTACACTGAAACCTCCAACGGCTCCTTCCTGGGGGGGTACTGAGCCCCAGGACCGGGCAATGGGGCCAGGATGGCACCAGGCCCTGCCGCTGTCCCCAAAGGCCCTCACTGCCCACCCTGCTGGTCTCTGGGCGCTGTGCGGAGCCAATTCTTGGGCTGATGGCCCCCAATGTCGTTGGTCCCAATGTTCCTGGGGTCTCCCCCTGGGCAGTGGTGGTGGGAGGGATCTTCTCCTGTTTGAGCCCTTGCCAAGGAGGGAAATATGGCAGAATCCCAAAGGGAATGGGGATGGCACTGGGGAAGAGAGCAGTCGAGGGCTGTTGAGGAAGAGGAGGAGGGGAGGAAGGTGGCTCTGGGCTGGGCTCTTAGTGATGGTGCTGCATCTTTCTCCTGAGGACAGCTTGAAATCATGACCCCAACCTTCCCCTGTACTCCAATTGCTGTGTAAGAGCCCCAAACCACTTCTGCTGCCTGGAAAGGGGGGGAACAAAGAAAAAAAAAAGTTTTTTTGCCCTCTCCTGTTGTCCTCTGATCTGTGCTGTGCTGTGGGTCTGCCTGCAGGCTGCGGGGGCTGGGGGGAAATGCAATGACCTGGGTGCTGCCCAGGGCCACTGCTGGGCTTCAACTTCTATCCTGTAAATCCAACTGAACACAGATCGTGTGTCTCACTTGGCAATGATCCCTTCTGTGATCCACACTGCTGGGCCGGGAACCCCGGCAGGTGCATGGGGGAAAGGCTTGGGGCTACAGAAGCAGCCGTCCTCCCACCTCCCAAAACTGAGAGCCATGGGCTGCAGGGCACCTTCAGCCCCACTGCCAGCCAGGCACAGCTGAAGGGTTCCCCCTCCTTTCTTTGCCAGCACACCGGGCTTCGCCTTTCCTGATCAATAAAAGCTTTTTGGGTTTGCCTTTATACTTCTGTGTGCTCCAAGGCAGCGGTTCAGCCCTTCTGCTGGTTGTGCTGCTGGGCGAGGGGCTGGGGGCCAGCACTGGAGCTGCGTGCCAGCTGCCCTGGGCTCCTTAGGGCCAGGTGGAGGGAGGGCAGGTCCTTAGCAGCTGGAGAGGGGCTGCAGCACAGCACAAGGGAGCACCAGCAGCCTGCAGAGCCCTGCTGAGCAACAGGACTGCGGCTGACTGGAGCAGGAATCGCCTTGGGGGCGATGCTGGGGGGCTGCCTGCACCCAGTGTGGGTGCAGCTCCCACAGGCTGCAGGCCGTGAACCTCAAAACGCCCCTCAATGCCACGCTGAGCCCCCAGCACGACACCGGGCAAGAGAACAAGAAAAGCCAGCAGTTCATCAGTGCCCCATCCACCCTTCAGGGCTCAGGGGACCGCAGGGGGGGGGGTTGGCCTCCCTCTGCCCCCTCTGCTGCACGCAGCCTCATCATCCACCCTGAGATTCCATCCCACATCTCAGGGCCGCCCCCCCTGGGCCCCCATCCACAGTGGGACGGGCACCCATGGACCCCCAGAGTGCCACGAGGTGCCCAGGTCGGGCCGTGCCCAGCAGCAGGGCTGGGCAGGAGAGAAACCCTCAGTCAGGAAAGGCGACACAAAGAACCAATGCTTCGCTGGGTTGCTTTTGTTGGTTTGTTTTTTTGTTTTTTTTTTTTGTCGTTGGTTTTTTTTTTTTCCTCAATTCATTTTTTTATGAAAACAGCTCACACGGAGTTCTGCGACCAACAGAATGCCAAAAAGAAACCGCTTTGAACAGAACATAAAACAAAAACAAAAGACAAAAAAAACCTGGCTCTCCTTTCCTCTCGATTGTCTGAAATATCCTCGTGTTCCATAGAAGGCAGTGGGTTTTAAGTGCTTTCTATTTAACATTAGCATAAAATCTCTCTCTCGCGCGCGCTCTCTCGCTCTGTTAAAATATGCTCACACCATTTGCTTCTACAGGTACAGTACAGCGGGGGGGGGTGCCTGTTCCCAGATCATTTACAATCACAATCCAACAGGAAATAAAAAATAATATTCTGAACGTCAGACTGTGTTCGTTTTCTGCCGTGGGTTTTGCTGGGGTTTGGTGGTGGTTGGTTGGATTATTTTGGAAAAGATTTTTTTTTCTTTTTTTTTTTGTTTTTTTCCTTTTTTTTTTCTTTTTTTTTTTTTTGTTTTTTTCTTCTCCTCACAGTTTTAAAAAGCTTATATTTATATATATATATTTATATTTATATTTATAATTAAAAAGTTGAATCCATTTAAAGATTTATAATACAGGAGGGGCTAAAGGAGTCTTTTGGTACATTAAAACTGTACAGGTTCGAACCGTCACCATGCGCGGCGCCCGGGGCAGAGGTGGGACGGCGCAGCACCGTTGTGGTTCCAGCTGAAGGCGAGGGTTGACTGCAGGCCCAGCCAGGCCCCCCGGCACGCAGCAGCACCGGGCTGATGGTTGGCAATGTGTCCAAGCTCTCCCCACCACAGCCTGGGCTGCTGCTCCTGGCCGAGCTGAGCCACGCTCCGCGTCGCAGCCACGCAGTGCGAGTCGCCAGTTGCCAAGATCAGTGCGTCTCCTGGGAGTCGTTGTGTAAGTGCAAGGATGTTGCGTGGTTCTGTTCTCCTCCCACATCCCCCCCCTGGCTGGGCTGGCCAGCTGAGCGCTCCCCTGGCCAAGCCCAAGGTGACGGCTGGGCTTCGGCTGTGGAAACGCAGCAGCAGGGCACGGCTGGGCTCCACGCGCCGTCCCTGTTCCTTCAAATGAGGCGGAGGGCTGCCGGGCAGCTGACTGCTCCACGCAGGCAAGAGAGGTAAAGCCGAGTGAGCTGTGCTGAAATCCGTTCCACCACGGGAGGCACCCCCTCCCTGCAGCCTCCTCCGCTCCGAGCAGCGCAGCAGCGTCTCCCAGTCGTTTCCTTCCCTGCTTCTCTGCACACTCGCACGGTCGTTCGGCAAGCCTCAGCCTCTTCTCCCCCTGCTCCTCCTCCTCCATCTCCTTTGTGAGACAGGAGAGTGGGAAGGTGGGCTCAGCCCATGTGGGGCAATGGGAAGGCAGCAGCCCAGGTGTGACAGGGGCTCACCTGGCACCTCCAGCCTGGAGGACCTCTCCTGCAGTCTCCGTGCTGGGGCCAGCACTGCTCTTCCGTGCTCCACTGCCAGGCAGGGGAAGGGGAACCGCAAAAAGGCGCCGGGAGGATTGAGGCGAGGCGCCGAGAGAGACTCATCTCCTTTCTCTTTCACCCTGTCCTTCCTAAAGGGTCATGCGAAACAAGCAGGAAAGGGGATATAAGGACGGAGAGGAGCGTACGCAGAAGGTCAGCAGGTGTCCTTCCACACACAGGCGGCTTCTGATGGGGGCAAATGACACAGAAGGGATCCCTCCCGCTGGGGATCCCGCTGGTGAAATGATCGTGAGAGCCATGTGCTTTCCAGGACCAAAAGGAGGAAGGGAGAAGTCGGTCACCGTAACTAAATCCACTTCCCAAAGATTCTTGAGGCTCATACACCTCCGCCACCACCCTCGGCACCTTCCGTGATTGCTGTAACCGCTTTCCCAGCCCCTTTCTTCAGCCCTCTCCTTCCTCCCCATGTCTCTCGCACTCTCCTGTCTGTAGTGTGACACGGAAGTCATGAGCTTTGAAAGAAACAATCATGTCGTCTGAACAGGCACGTCCTCAAGTTTGTCCTGTCCCTTCCCAGGGCTGGCTCGTGCTCCCTGGGCGGTCAGCAGATGACAGGGACCCCGTCGGTGTTGAAGATCATGCCCGTGGTGGGCTCGTAGGTCCCTGCAAGGTAGTAGAGGTCCTCACTGTCTTGGTATTTCTTAGTCTTTAGCATCTGCTCATATTGATCCAGACCAACAACGAGACACTTGTGTGAGATGGTCTGGACATCGTTCTCATCCACGTGAGAGGACTGATAGAGAGCTCGCTGCGTTACAGGAAGGGAAGAAGGCAGACAGAAAGGAGCAATTAGAACTCTCAGCAATTAAAGCATCATCTGCAATACACAAGAAGAACATCCACCAGACTGTCCAGGGCCTGTGCTCGTACAGAACTCCCCAGCCATCCCCACTGCAATCCCAGGCAGGGACACTTGGAACACCGGGGGCAGCGTGGACGTGATCAGTCCTTTCCACCAAACCTGAGCCCTTGTGCACAGCCAGCTCCCACAGAAGGGAACCACAGCTGCAGTGTGTGCTGACGGGGAAACGCAGAGGCCTAGAGTTTGTCATCTCCATTTCAAGGATGCAAATGCAAAGACAGGTGCTGGCTGGGGACCCACCGCTCCTCCCAACACCCGGCACCAGCAGCGATTCCCATCCTCCCAAATACACCCGTCCAAAGTCCTGGGAACTGCAGCCTCAACAACTGAGGCAAAAAGTAAAAGCCAGAGAAGGTCAGAGGCTTTTCCCCAGCAGCATCAGTTAAGCAGTCGCAGCACCAACCTCCATGAAGTCCTTCCTCTGGTTGGATGCCTGCAGAGCTGTGGACAGACTCCTGCCTGATTTCTGATCCCAGCGCTGTGCCCATGAGAAAAAGAGAAGACAGAAATAAAAAGAAAGCAAATTAATTGGATTTTCCATGTTATCATCCCCCGCCCACCACACGTGCCTTTATTACCCCAGCCCCACCCCAAGGCAATACAAACTCAGAGCCTACTGTAAACCACACTGTGCAAAGATGCAGAGCTCAGCATTCCTGAGCAGCAGGCTAGCAGTTTTACACTGCACAAAGTCTTGGTCTGACTCTTAATAAACTCTTGTTGGACTGACATACACAGCTATTTCCTAGCAGAAACTCTTCCCTGGATCAAGAGGTATCAGGCTTGCCCACAGCCCCAGCACGAGATGATGGTTTCACCCCGTAACAGTACCAGCAATGACCTGGGCCATAATCCTCCCTGTCCTCAGGAGAGGAACACAGCCATGCAGCTTTGCAGCCCTGTCAGCAAAGGCGAGCAGCCCACCTTGCCTTCGTTGAGCTTCTTCCCAGGGTTGGTTTCCTCTGGGTGATAAAACCACTTGACTCGGACCACCATGTTGTTCCCCCACGACTCCCACATGCTCTGGATGCGGCCAATGTAGGGCAGGTTGGGGCGGCCAGCTGACAGGAAGACCGCGCAGTCTCCAATGCGGATGATCTCCTTGCCCCGGACGATGGCCTTGTAGAACAGCTTCCTGGCCTTCCCCTTCATTCCTCGTCTCTGCCAAGAGAGGATCACACAGGTGAGCAGCTCAGGTTTCCCTCATCCCACATCCTGCCCTGTTCTGTTGGCAAAGCCAGACCCAGCCTGGTAATGACACAGCCACCACCGGCCAGGACACGCCACAGCCTGAGCACTGCTGATGGAGACTCAAAGATGTGGTGATGGTCAACAGACATTTCCACGAGAAAAAAGACAGAGAGGCAGGCCGTGTGGGACAGCTCCCCACAACGCAGCCAAGGCCGACCCCAACCTCCTCACGGCCTCAGCAGGGGACGTTACACCAGCAGAGCATCGCCAAGCCCAGATGGAAAGGCTCCCTTTCCCAGGCAAGTGGGAAAGGCTGTGCTTACCTGCGTGGGCTTCCCGAACCACTTCCACAGCTGCCGTGCGGGCAGGAAGGCGGCGATCTTGGGTCTGTTCTCCACCGACGGCAGCCGCTGCCGCTTGGCCAGCTCCTTGGTGGTGGGCAGGTGGATGCCCTCACGTTTTTTGGGCCTGCTCTTGTTGCCGCTCTGCTGCGGCGCCGGCTGCTGCGCCGGCTGCTGCGCCGGCTGCTTCTGGCTCTGGGGGTGGGAGGACGCCCGGGATTTCCCTGTCTGTTTGGTTTGCTTGGGAGGGAGGGTTTGCTGCACTGAGGAACTTGGCTGGGCCTCAGCTACTTCGTCGTCAGAGCTACAGGAGGAGTCTTCATCTGTAGTGGAGGAGGAAGAGGAGCTGGAACTTGAGGAGGAGGAGGTTGATGAGGCAGAGGAAGAGGAGGAAGAGGAGGAGGAAGAGGAGCTGCTGCTAGAAGAGGAAGAGGAGGAGGAGTTGGAGGAAGAGAGAGGAGTGGATGCTCTTGAGCTGGTCGAGCTGCTGTCCTGAGCCTCCCCTCGGTTCTTCTCAGTCTCCTCTTCTCCCTCTGACTCTGAGCTGCTGTCACTGCTGTTGCT